TCTGGACAAGAATGGCAGTAGGCTTCACCCTATGGCCATACGGTTGCAGGAAGGGAATCATGGTTTGCTTCCAAGTTATGTCAGAATACCATTGGGGAAGAGACAAAAGTTTTTATTAAAGGCTGAGCTCGGCCAACTCATCAAGGTATACTTTCCAAGTAATATATATGCCCATCAAACATATATAGCTAATTGCATGTTCCTCGGCCACTATAAGACCCCCTAATGTCCTTGGCCACAATGTTGTTCCTCAGCCACTTTTATTAGTTATGTCCGTACACATGCTAGCCAAGGTGGTTGGTCAATGACGATACTCAGCAAATTGCCGAGCTAGGCATGAGGCTTGTTTATTTTTAAGCCTTGCCAAGGAAGGATATTTGATGACTAATTTCCTTAACCATTCAGCTTACGAGTCGAAGCTCAAGGAATTTGGGGGGCAATGTTTGGACCCGATTTTACACTATCGGCCCGAACAATCGAGGTCGTTGAATGAGCAGAATTTTGGACCATTGAAGGACAAAATGGTTGAAATAATTTTTAATTATTATTGAGAAATAATATTGTGATTTTAATCATGATATTATCTCTTAGTAATATATTAAATTATTTAAACCTCATATTTGTCTAAATCCCAATTAATTTGAATGATGGTGGACTATTGGGATATGCACGGTGTCAGATAATGAAGCAGGCAGAACAGTCCAATTTAATTTGGATTTTTTAGCAGTGTTCCGTTTGGATTAGAGTAACTCGGCTTGGATTCTGATCACGTGGCATAGCATGGGATTTGCAAGGCTTGGATAATGGTGAGATAGGAGACCTAAGTAGGCTAGGTTGTTTATGGATGTTGTTAGATGAATTGGATTGATGATGGACTTGGCCTGCATGCCGTGTGAAAGGCTATCAATTATATATATATATAGATAATTAGTGGTTGCCGTATAAGTCTGCATGCCATGTGAAATAGTGAAAGGCAAACTATATATATATATATATATGTATGTATGTATGTATGTATGTATGTATGTATATACATACATATATATATATATATAATTCGTGGTTGTTTAGATGAACATTATTTGTTCAAATTCAAGCCTGCAGATTATTTTGGGATTCGATGTGATAAGACTAAACACAAGAATCGAATTTGGTTGCATTTTTGACTAAGTTCAGAGTCTTGGGTGTAGTAAAGCTTATCCGAGGATCAAGTCAGTGGAAGAGTTTTAATAGCTTAGGAGTCTTTATCAACTTATCAACCAGCGCGTACTCGTCCCTATAAATACAAGACATCGTGCAATATTTCAAGGGACCGCCAATTCAACACACAATTGCTCTGCGCAAAACCTCTTAAACATCTTGAGATTTTTTATTTTCTTTTTCCCGTCGACACATCTTTAGTTTGGATAAACAGCACTGTGAAGGCAATCAGCGAACACTTTCAGTTTGGATAAACAACACTGTCGCCATAGAATCAGCCGAACGAAGAGCACCTTCAGTTTGAATAAACAGCATTGCGTTGAGGTTTACTGGTTACCTATCCAAGTCTTGGTCGATAGGGTTTCCGAATCCTTATTGGCAGAGGTCATCTTATTAGCATTCTCGTCGAAGTAAGGTGTTACGAGTTACGACATTCGGCGTATTGAGTGCCGAGTGATTTTATGATTGGATACTTACAAGTGAGTTTCAGAGTTCAGCATTCTGACGGCCGAACCACATTTACCATCAAGACATACATCACCTTTGAATACTTATGTCCGTACAGTCTAGTGTTGATTTGACGTGCTTATACTTTCACGAATATAATCACTGTGACCGAATCCGGCGCCGACGATTTGTGAACTTAGCAGAACTAGCAGCCTTGTCTTCAGGCTTGAGAATCCAAAGGCCGAGATTTGTTCTTTCCTCGTCCGCAGTCGCAAGATAAAGAAGTCAGCAACGCGCTCAACGCAACATCAACAAATTTTACTCCTCGGCCGACGAGTTGACATGCCCCGCATTCAACCGAACGACGTAGTTAGGTTATTAGTTACTCGGCCTGCGCGCCACGTAGGCTTTGTAATTTTTAGGGTCAATAGAACCTTTTAACCTAAAAAGTTCAAATTTGGACAAATTAGATTTCATCACTTATGAACCTTTTGTTGGATTAGATTTTCTTATCTCAATCTCATATGTTGATAGATACAAACCCACACTCCGCACTCTAATTTTTTTTCCACGTACAACACAACAATTTACCTAACACAAATTGGTAAACTAGTATCATACAATTTTGAAAAAAAATTTATTTAAAATTTTCACCCACCAATACCCAAGAACGTTAAATCGATTTGAAATTTGAATTCTTATGAAATTTAAAACAATCATTAATTAACCAAATTGCAAGAAAAATATGTAAGAAAAAAGAATATAAAAATGACAAAAATAGAGTATAAGTGTATTTGTAAGTAGATAGAGAGTAATAGAATTTTGCTCACATGGGTTGCTACTTCTTTTTTTTATGGGACCCACTGTTTTTTGGGGCTAGATGTAGCCCAATTTTATTTTACCCAAAAAAGAAAAGGAATCTAGCCCTATTTTCTGACTTATTGGGGATGAAATTTTTCACTAAGCCTTGAAATGTAGTAGCCTCGAACATTGAGTAGGCTTTTCTGGTTATGGACTAGTTTGTATTTCGGGTCAGTCGAGCCCATTTTGGAGAATGGATAAGAGGGATATTCCTCCGCCTGCTGCTTTTGATTCTTCTCCTTCCTCCCCTAAATCCCCCAAGACACCAAAACACAGTCTTCACTCTTTCTTTCATCACTTATTTCCTGCACTCTCTGCTGATCCTGTTACAGTAAGAACTCACTCTAATATTTCTTCTTCTTTTTTTATTTATCTGCTGAATTAAGTCTTGTATTTAGTCTGTGTGTTTCCCTGAATTTTAAGCTGGTTTAATTTTGTTCTTTATCCGAAGAGAAAGCGTAAGAGTTTAAATTTTTTACAACTGTGTTGGGTGTCTAAAGAAATCTGCTTTCTGTGTGAATATTTTCTGCGAAAGATTATTGGGTGTTTGCTTCATTGGAAATATGTTCTTTGTTTTGCTGTTATGAAATCACTACATGAAACTTACTAAGGATTTAAATGGACGGACTTTTTAATGTCGCGGCATGCACCCAAGTTCGAATCCTTCTCCCGTAGATTAGAGGAGTTTAGAATATATATCATCTTGTCTGAAAAAAACAAACGAAGGATTTGAACATTTTGGATCGTTCTTTGCAGGTATTTGTGAGTAAGGGGAAGCAAAAATTGATGGCACATTTGCTTTCAACTTCCTGCTCTCTAAAATTCTCCTCTGGTGGTAAACCCTACACCAAACCATTGATCCAACACTCGATCGCATTTCCTTCCTCTTTAACTTTTCAGACTTCCAAAACCCCATTTGGGAGGATCATCCTGCAAGGGGAGAGGTCACAGAGTGGTACTTGCACGGTGCGTGCAACCACACTCTCTGCAAGTAGGGAAGCCCCAAATGAACCGAGCTACGGCGTTAATGAGAGTTCAGGCGGAGCTTCCAAACCACAGCGGGTGATGGTCGTCGGTGGAGATGGCTACTGTGGTTGGGCCACAGCCCTTCACCTATCCAAGAAAGGTTATGAGGTTGCCATTGTTGATAGCCTTGTGCGCCGTCTCTTTGACCACCAGCTCGGTCTTGGTTCCCTGACTCCAATCGCCTCTATCCATGATCGTATCCGTTGTTGGAAAGCTCTCACTGGAAAGTCCATTGAACTCTACATTGGTGATGTTTGTGATTTCGAGTTCTTGTCAGAAGCCTTCAAGTCGTTTGAGCCTGATTCTGTTGTTCATTTCGGGGAACAGCGGTCTGCCCCTTACTCCATGATTGATCGGTCAAGAGCAGTATTCACGCAGAATAACAACGTGATTGGAACTCTGAATGTTCTCTTTGCTATAAAAGAGTTCAGAGAAGAGTGTCATCTCGTGAAGCTCGGGACCATGGGAGAATATGGGACTCCAAACATTGACATTGAGGAGGGTTTCATTACAATTACTCATAACGGGAGAACAGATACTTTGCCCTACCCGAAGCAAGCGAGCTCTTTCTACCATTTGAGCAAGGTTCATGATTCGAATAATATAGCCTTCACTTGCAAGGCTTGGGGGATTAGAGCCACTGATCTAAATCAAGGAGTGGTATATGGAGTGAGAACCGATGAAACTGAGATGCATGAAGAACTCAATAACAGGTTTGATTATGATGGAGTTTTTGGAACTGCATTAAACCGGTTCTGCGTGCAGGCTGCTGTCGGTCATCCGCTTACCGTGTATGGCAAAGGGGGTCAGGTAAAATCCTTCAATACAAAGCTTTCTTTTCGAGTGCATCAAAGAAGTCGCATTGCATTACTTCCCAATTCCCATGTACTAATATGTATGAATTTTGATCTTCCAGACCAGGGGATATCTTGACATAAGAGACACAGTTCAGTGTGTTGAAATTGCCATCGCAAACCCAGCAAAGGCCGGGGAGTTTAGGGTCTTCAATCAATTTACTGAGCAGTTTTCCGTCAATCAACTTGCGGCACTTGTTACAAAAGCTGGAGAGAAGCTCGGAATTGATGTGCAAACCACCTCTGTCCCAAACCCTAGAGTTGAAGCTGAGGAGCACTACTACAATGCTAAACACACTAAACTTATTGAGTTGGGACTGAAACCGCACCTTCTTTCGGACTCTCTTTTGGATTCATTGCTCAATTTTGCTATTAAGTACAAGGATCGCGTCGACACAAAGCAGATAATGCCCAGTGTATCTTGGAGAAAAATCGGGGCTAAGCCGAAGACTGTCACAGCATAGTTGAGTGGTTTAGTGTATATGTGATTAGTAGTTGTATACGTACTGAGGACGTTATCGATCTGTATCACCTCTGTTGTTAGTTAGTAGGTTACTTTTGCTACTACTTGTCAATGATTGCTCGTTGCAGTCAGTTTCAATTCCTAACAAATAATAAAATTTTGATGTTTAAAATTTCGATGTTTAGAAAGATTTACAACTTACGACAATGAGGCTAAGATCACAATCGTGAATCGAGAGATTTATCGGCTCTTGTGCTAGATGGTGACTGCTTAGACAGATCCATGTCCTGGTGAAAATCTTCCCTGATGAAGTCCAACACGATCGAAACCAGCTCGTTTTGGTGTAAAGTGTATTCGTGATCAGCTCCTTCCACGATCGATACTTTGTGATTAGGTATAATCTTATCAAACTCAAAAGCATCTTCAAAAGGAACAATTTTGTCATGTGATCCATGAACTGTCAAAACCCTGCAGATAATGCAAAATGTAATCAACCGAATTTTTATGGATAATCATTAGCAGAAGATTGGAGAAGTAATCTATGAGGCAAATTGCAATCACTGACCTGCAATTTTGATTAATCGATTGGCAGGCTGCACGCATATCAGTTGTTAGACGCTCTATCAAACTTTCTTCGGTGACACGATACTGAAATGTACCTATTAACAAGTAGATACGCAGTTGCAAACTTTATATAGACAAATGGGTTTGTAAACGAAGGACTTGTAAATTCCACACTGTTGAAAGAACGACTATGATAAGACAGCTGTGTTTATGGAAAATAAGAATAACTGCATATGATAGCTTACCTCTTCTGTACTTAACGTCAATAAATCCATCTCGCTTGATTCTTTGTCGAAAATCTTTACCTAAGCGACCTTCCATGCCTCTTTCCAGATCAAATCGGCCAGAAATATTTACAACCGCACGAACATCACTGTATTTTGCAGCATACAAGATCACTGCATTCCCCCCTGCAAGAAACATGTCAGCAGTAACTTCAAACATCGTTCCGTTCCTCCTTTTGTTTCTCAAGTTACGCTTTGGTTCTAAAAGAGCAAAATTATAGACAGACCTTTACTGTGACCAACAACTGCAGTTACTACATAATCCTTCCCACGAAAGTATTGAACTACAGCGCGTATATCATCAGCTTCTCTTCGATAGTGACCATATCGAAACAAACCTTCACTTTCCCTAGGAGGTATGAATAAATATAAACTTCTTATAACTACCTATGTTGTCCCAACGAGGTATGGCATAACAATCAGCAAACAGCTTACCCGTTTCCAGCGAAGTCAAAGCGGAAAGCGCTTATACCACCGTTTTCTAACACAGCGGCAATGTTCACCATAGGAATGCGTTCCTAGAGATAACACAAAAAGACTGTAAATTCAATCATCTATCCCACCATCTTCGAACAGATGACATTTAGTGCACAAACAACATAATACACACGCTTACGCTCGCGAAGGTAACAAAAAACAGATAGATTCCGATTGGTTACAACCTGCTCTTAATCAAGTGACTAATGAATAAATGTTTCAAATTTCTGGATCTTTCAGTCATACAATTGACAAAGACATAGTTTGTTTGTCGTAGCCAATAACAACCTTTGATGAGTGGATGCCATGGCACACCACAACGAGATCCTTCGAACCCCTCTCATGTAATATCCCAACAAGCTTCTCCCCATGCTTGTTTTCTACAACAATCCTGCGCTGTTGAATAACTGCCGGACGGAATTCGAAAAGATTTTCTTCAAAATTTATGCAGTCAATACATGTTAAAGGAACACATTGAACCTGTTACGAACATAATTACGCTAGAACATATCGACAACCAGACAATAAAACCGAACATAAATTAGTATATTATGGAGATTAAAATGAAATTAGTTTCGAACCCAAGATCAAAAAACTTACAGAGACACCCTTTGATCACTCAAAAGACAATAAATTTGAGAATTTTATGAACTGGGTTTGCGAAAAGATTGGTTCCTTTTAGCATCTATGGCCAGGAAATTTTGGAAAATCTCTGCAAAGAGAAGGAACTAAAATTCTGGGAAGGAAAATTTATCAGATTTACCTGGTTGCTTCTGAGTCGGAGTCGGGCGAGTCACCGACATGGATTAGAGAGTTGGACTGAGGAAACTCTATGGCGCCAGGCGGAGGACGATTCAGATTTCGGACCGACTATCGAGAAGTGCGACGACAATCTTTATGCAAAGGGGACCTAACTCAGTGCAACTAAAAATAACGTTTTGATGATTAACAGAACTACCTAACTTTTAAATTGAAAGACTTTTTCTCAGCTTGGTAAAAAGTATAACTATTGTACGTTAAAATGATGTCAAGTAGAAACTTAGCAATACCATTTTTCTCAAAAAATATGAGACGACACTCACGATTTTTAATCGGTTTGCCAACTTCTTAGAATTAATAATGAAAAGTTGGAATAAAAATTGAGAAAAATTCAGGAATCCATTATTGTTTATTGTACAAACAACCATCAGAGAGGATGAAAAATCAAAAATAGGCAAAGGGATGTTCTCCCGTGCCTTCTAATTATTACTCCTACACTGACTCATCGCATTTCAGACTCTTCTAAATTCCCAGCCAATCTGACTACGGAGTGGCAGCAGCGTAATACGGTACCCGAACAGAGAGCCTGGTGACGGTAAAACTTTACTAACATTGACACGGATAAATACATGCCCGCGACTCATCAACCTGGCCCGTGCTAGGATCCGACGGGTGCAATACCTGTAGACTTGGCTGCGGCAGTTGCGGCAGCTGCAGCAGCGGATGCAGCGGCTGCGGCAGAAGCAGCCGCGTTGGGGGTGGAGGGCGGTACTGGCTTAGACTGTGAGTCGCTCTTCGCTGCAACTACTTGTTGGTGCGGTTGCTGCTGCTGCTGCTGCTGCTGTTGGGAGTTTACTTGTGCAAGCAAGGACTTTATCTGAGTTCCGGTGAGTGTTTCCTTCTCTATTAAAGCATTAGCAAGGGCATGGTGTTCCTTGCTGTGTTCGGTGAGGATGGTTTTTGCATTGTTGTATGCCCTTTCCAATAAGTACTTCACTTCTTCTTCGATGAGCAACCTAGTTTCTGTGCTCATGCTCCTACCGTTGTCATCGTAATCATGACTGACGAGCCCAACTTGTTTGCTCATACCGTACTTTGTAACCATTGCTCTAGCCACCGAAGTTGCTTTCCAGAGATCATTTGATGCACCAGAAGTAACTTCACTTTCTCCAAAGATGAGCTCTTCTGCAACACGCCCCCCCATACAAACATCGAGCTCTGCAAGCATCTGTTTCCGTGAGACACTTGTCTGGTCCATCTCGGGCAGCAGGGCAACCATGCCAAGCGCCATACCCCTAGGAACTATTGTTGCCTTGTGAACTGGAAGAGCACCATCGGTGTGGATTGCTACAAGTGCATGCCCACCCTCATGGAAAGCTGTTAGCTTTCTTGACTCATCAGATATAACAGCTGACTTGCGTTCGCTTCCCATCATAATCTTGTCTTTTGCATATTCAAGATCAGCCATATTCACTGCTTTAGAACCGTCCATGGCAGCCTTCAGAGCAGCAACGTTGATCAAGTTCGCAAGATCAGCTCCGGAGAACCCCGGAGTTCCTCTAGCAATAATACTCAAATCTACGTCATTGGCCTTCAGAACCTGTCAAAGAACATCTTGATTAGTCTTGGAGTGACTTCTAGTTCTAAAGAATCTGCTGCATCAATCTAAAATACAACTTACAAAACAAAGTCGTATAATCTAAAATACAACTTACAGAACAAAGTCATATCACGTAAGATATATAAAAGAAGAACAAAAACAACGACAGCCAAAATATGCCCATACACCATAAGGCCCAAACATATTATGTTCCGTTTGATGTGTAATGGAAGAAGCCATTGCAGAAGATGGTTGTGACCAAAGACCCTTCCAATTCAAGGTGGAGTTACAAAAAACCATCATAAAAGGATTACCTTCGACATGTGGGCTTCCATAATCTGCCTTCGCCCTTCAACATCAGGATTTGGAACAACAATATGCCGATCAAACCGTCCAGGTCTCACCAATGCCTTGTCCAGAGACTCTGGGAAATTAGTAGCAGCAATGACAATAATTCCTTCATTTTGTTTAAAACCATCAAGTTCAACAAGTAACTGATTAAGGGTCATTTTCATGTACTGCATATCCTTTGGGTTTCGGCTTCCTCCTATTGCGTCTATCTCATCAATGAATATTATACAAGGTGACCGCTTCTTTGCAGCCGAGAAAAGATCCCTCACCCTTCGAGCCCCAACACCAACATACATCTCTTCAAACTCACTGCCGCTGCATGAAAAGAAAGGAACCCCTGCTTCTCCAGCAATGGCTCTTGCTAACATGGTTTTTCCTGTGCCAGGTGGACCAACAAGCAAAACACCTTTTGGGAGCTTGCCACCTAGACGAGTAAAACGCTGCACCAAGGGAAATTGCATTAAGGGGCATGCCCTACAATTACAAAAAGATAAAGAGAGTGCAAGCATGGGACACAAATGGCACTGCTAAGGATGGATTTGGCATATCATCCATCTCCAGCTAAACCAAAGTTAGTTCTCCACAAGATCAAGGTACTCAAGATTGTATTCTTGGATTGATTTAAAGGAACACAATGCAAATGAGGGGAAATTTTGTTGAGTGAATCAAGACCTTTTCAAGCCCTTTGCGCTAATAGGTCACCTCCAAAATCATCACCTTATTTTGGATTAAATAGCAATGATATTGCCCCCATCCCAGAAATCAGGGGGCATAGGGTGATAGTAAAAGGTCTTCATATTACATATTCTTCTATACATAATGTTGATACAACCTTAGGATCCCGAAGATAGTGAACAATTTCCTCTAACTCGGATTTAGCCTCATCAACACCCTTAACATCGCTAAATTTTGTGTTTGATTCCATGCTAGGTTGAACCTCCTCATTTAGTCCGAGTCCTGAAATGTGGAAATGGAAAATTAGAAGGAAAACATTCATCATTTAGAATGCATGTTAATCAATGGGCAGGGGAGTCTAAAGCACCAGGAGATTGTAATACCTTTGCTTATTCCTTTATCCTCAATGAGTGCTCCAATGCCAGATATCATAAGAAAGGCCAGTGCAATTGTGCGAATTGTACGCCACAGCTGCTCTTTAAACTGACCTCCTTCTGTAGCCACCATATGAATAGGAGCACTTGCAGTTCCAAGAATACCTTCGTTTGTTGATTTTCCAAAATTCCTGAGAACTGAGAAGCCGGCAATGCTTTCTTCCTCCCTTGCAGAGTTAGCAACACCTACAAAACTTGTAGAATAGAGCTCAAATTTACAAGTCAGGTCAAGGTGAAAAAACTATAAAAAATATGTAGTAAGCATAACATTATTCGTACAGAAAATACAACAGAAGTTCAGGATCCCTATATCACAAAAAGAAAGGGAATTTAATTGTAATAAAGCAGGGTACTAAAACACAATCATCCAATTCACTTTTATAAACTCTACTTCATACATAAGCTTAGCACACTCTAGACAAGTCTACAAGATAAAGATGAAATATGGTATAATTTTGGTATAAACAATTACAAAGGAAACATAACCATGTTCCATTACCCACCTCTCTGCAATGTCTTGAGTAACTCACTCTCGTCCAGCCTGCCAACTCTTACCAATGCTTTCACATATTCAGAAAGTGCTGAAGGGTTAGGATGTAATGATGGTTGACTTTCAAATGCTCTTATCACTGCTTCATAATCACTCCGATTGTAAAGTTCTTTCAGATAGGAAATTTCACTAGCTTCATCGGTATCGCGTACTCTACGAGCGAAATTGCCAACATAGCTCGACTTGAACCTTTCTTGAGCACTTAAAAACTTGTTCCCTGCATAAGGTTTAAAAGTAAGCGATCATTTCTATAAGTGAAGATAATGGAGATGAGTATTCTGTCTTTCATTTAAAGCCTAAACAATGAGGTACCTAAAGGAACAAATTGACAAGATAATAAACAAGAAACATAATTCTTTGGGAGTTTGAAATGAACGAAAAAAATATATACAAATCAAAACATTTTTAATTTGTGATACCTCCGGCACCTCCTCCGAACCTGTTGGTCGGATGATAAGTTCTGGCAACCACTTTTGTCAGCTGTCCCAACTCTGATCGATGCCTTGAAACCTGTTGAAGAAATAACATGGAGTTAAAAAGAGCCCAAAGAAACAACAGTAAGTATGTCTAAGAAGGCAATTAAAATTTAAATTGGTTGCATCCTTTTGCTCATTGAGATAGGAAATTAAAACTTAATTGGAAAAACAAACTCGAGCACAGCATTCATTAAGGCATTGATTGCAAGTTCTCAACGATGGAAAGGGAGGGATTTTGATAATAGTATGTCTAAACCAACAAAAATATCACACTTCTTCATTCTTTTAAGACCAAAAGAGGTGACCCAACCCTTAAAATACGACTACACACACTCCTGTCGAAAAGAAACAACGCAACCTCGACCGCTCATAATCCGCCTTTGAACCGCCTAGAAGGACCTTTCAAATAACTCTCCGTTCATTTGCTGATACAAGAAACAAACTAAGACAAAACGAAAAATTCAGATAACACCAAATTTTCGTAATGAGCTCAAAAGGTCCATCTCACATTGGGTTCCCAATTGGTACATAGTTTAACATCTAAATTATTAGTTTCCAACGTCTTGACAATGTAAGCATCTCCTTGGTGTAAACCCATAAAACTCGAACCGAAACAAACCCGTATACCGCAACACCGCAAATATGAACAACATGGTTACAGAAACTAACCTAACGACCAAATTCCTAAGCAATCAAAATACAGGAATTAAGGTTTTCGAGATCAAGTTAAAGAAACATACTATTTCACTGGGAAAACAATTCTATCGCATATAAAAAGCTGAAAACTGCATAAATTCACAGACTTGGAACCCCAGCTGAGAGATTCAACCGACCTGAGTGATCAGGCGCCTCAAAGCCATCTCTTGCTCGAAGGCCAAAAATGTCTGATTGTTCCTCTCTCTAAATCCACCGCGCCTTTTTCTCTCTAACTCAAAACTCCGGAGGCGTTGCTGGGTCGGTCCGTAAGCACGCGGTGGTGTTTTGATGGCGAGAAAATGAGAAGGAAAACGGGGGAAAGCGCGGAGCTTTGGAAGATAGAGGTTTCCGGAGAGAGAGAGATTACGAAGGTCCCAGGAGCATGCTTAGAGATAGACTGTCCAT